CTTGGAAAGAAAACCAGACTCCCTTACACTGGTGGTCAGTGGAAAAATGATGAATATTATTATTATAGAGGATTTATATAGCGCCAACAGTTTATGCAGTGCTTTACAACATAAGGGCAGACAGTACAATTACAATACAAATTAATACAGGAGGGATCACAGGGCCCTGCTCGTTAGAGCTTACAATCTAAGAGAAAAATGCTTTCTTTTTCTTTTTTTTTTTTAATTCTTTATTTTGAAGAAATAGTATAACACAATATTCCAACAAATATACAACTGAATGGAATGCAGAAAACTTTTTTTACACCGAAAGATACATACAAAAGAGTCAGCAAATCCACTTGTCTACATTCCTAAAACATACCATCTCCTCCTTTATTTTTCATTTTACTATTAGAGGGGGAAACAACAATCAACCCCAGTGGGGAAAGTTTAATGCAGGGAGTGCGTAGACAATAAGAGGGATTAGAAAGGAGGAAGGGGAGAAGGGTGGGGAGGGGAAGGAATAAACAGAGGAAGGGAAGGAAAGCAGCAACAGACAGGTAGATAAGTTGGGAAAAAAGGGATGGAGGAGAGAAATCCATCTATCCTCCTGGCCCTACGCCCATAGCAATCCCACTGTCCCACCAGAAAACATGAGGGGTATTTAAATTGCTCTCCTCATCTCATGATTAGGAGGCCAGCACAGTCATCTTTGTAAAAGAAGTAGAGGGTCATAAAAACAGAAAAATGCTTTCTTACATTGGTGGTTAGCGGGAGCATGAGGACCTCACATGGAGGTTAGGTCTTCTCGGTGAGAAGAACAATGCCCATTACATTGGTGAACAGTGAAAAAAGAATGCACCATTTCATTAGGGGAAGTGGTAGGAGCACAACCTTGCATTGTGGTCAGTGAGATAATACATGCTCTTTACGTTTGTGGTCAGTGGGAAGAATCGTTAGTGTCATGCTGTTGACTTTGCCAAGTGATGTTGGCCCAGGAACTTCGCAGACACCATGAGATGGGAGGTCAGTCTGCCACTGCTAAAGGAACCCCTAGCTACCTCTGGAGGAACCAATGAACCCTGGTTGAGAATGGCTGGTTTAGATTTTAACAATACTTTACACAGCACCAAAACTTCTTATTTGACCAACTTATTATTTACCAGTCTGTTTGATGTAATTCTGATATATTTTTTATAGTAGACAATACTTTGCCTAAAATTACCAAAATGTCCCAAAAACTATAATAACATTGAATACAAAACGAAGGGTGCAAACAGCAGTTTTCTGTACGGGATGGAAGAACTGTACCTGATCAAACAAGGATTGCTGTATTTCAAGAACATTTTGGAGTAAAGCAACTTTTATAGTATATTATACTCATCCATAAATGTTCTAAAACACCATTATATAATCCAATCTACTCTTACTTTGCTACTTTACAATGCTGCAATGCTAAAATAAAATATTAAATATCTCTAGGAAAAGCCCCCCAAAAAAGATTTAAAGACTACACAAACTCACTTCAGCATTGGGTGTACACCAGCCTTCCTGTTAGCGACAACAGTGGACCATTTCTGATTATTGTGTGTTAGCACAGTCACCTGAAGTCTCTATCGGGCCTACATGTGACAGGGTGACAAGGGGCAATTTATTAAAAGCAGTCAAAACCCTAGAGTGCCACTGGAAGACATTGTCAATCCATATCATCTGAACAAGGACCTTCATGGAAAACTGGAAATTTAAAAAAGGTTAGCAACAACTATTGAAATGGCATTAAAATATTAAAGTTTATACAAGCTTTAGTGATTGAGTTTAGATCTAACAGGGAGGGGTTTTTTTTTTCTTCCTGTAGAGGACTGAATTACAGTCATGTGAAATATGACGCATATATTTTATACATTGTATGTGCTGCATTTGGTTGTTTATTTCTGTCTTGTTTAGTCACAGTATAATGAACACCATCACAAAGCAACATGAACAGATTTTGAGGTTTCACAGTTCCTGATGGAAACGCGTAGACCAGTATAGTGACTTTATCACGCCCTCTATTTGGTTTCTATGCTGTATCGTGTTCTAATGCTTGCTTTTTGTAAATGCTCTATGGCCTTTTTTAATATGGAATCTTCCAATAAAATTTTGTGTACATTTTAATGGTTTGTGATCTTCACTATTGGAGGAGTAATTAAAGTTCCACCCTCTCTTTGGTATATGGTTTAATGATTTGTGGATGATGCCTCTTATAGTGTATTTTTAATTTATTTTAACACTCCACCTATATACACTTATAAATCTGGGTTTAGAACTAGATGGGTTTAAATTTATTTTTTATTTTTTTGATCCCACCAACACAGTGAAACGGAAGAGAATGAGTGGTGGATATAAATGTATGTGTTACAGTACATTTCTTTTTTGCAGTAAGTGCAGAGACATGGAAGGGAGCCCAGGAGCTCGGAGAATGAACCATGCCTCTTCTTAAACAGCCCAGTCTGCAGATACCTCCCTTCATGCCAAGATCAGCTCCAAGAACCACAAGCTTCACATAAAAACGTAATCTGAAACGAGAGCCTTCTTCCAGCCCCAAACAAAGTACAGCATTGATTATGGATGTGTTTATTCGAAGCACTGAATCATACACATTAAAATTTATTGCCAACACCAGGTTGCATTAAATGAGAAAGAAGAAAGACAGGCCTTAAAGAGAGATTTGTGCTTTTGAACTGTTTATCAGCCACAGCAAAAAGAAAAAACATAAACTGATCCATCACTTCATGATTAGCATAGGTTGGATAAGGGTAGAACTAAAACTAGAAAGCTCCAGGTTGGTGTTTCTATTTAAAAAAAAAAAAAAAAAAAGACAAACAGGTTTTGATACGTTTAATAAATTGCCCAAGCTTTCTGCCTAAACATAGACATCATTAGATATGGACACCTATGGCACAAATACTGGGTTTCATGTTCGACTCCCAGGGTCTAGTGAGATCTCTAACAAAGTAACACCAACGGTTCCATCACTTAATGGTTGGCCTACTTTAGACTAGAGCAGATCTAAACTACAATGCCCCAGACTGGTGTAGCTATTAAAAAAAAAAGACAAATAGGTTTTGATACGTTTAATAAATTGCCCAAGCTTTCTGCCTAAACATAGACATCACTAGATATGGACACCTATGGCACAAATACTGGGTTTCCTTTTCGATTCCCAGGGTCTAGTGAGATCTCTAACAAAGCAACACCAGATGTTCCATCACTTAACGGTTGGCCTAGTTTGGACTAGAGCAGATCTAAACTAGAATGCCCCAGACTGGTGTTGCTATAAAAAAAGACTTAGGTTTTGATTAGTCCGCTTTTCTGGCTATATGGGATTTTCTTTGTACTTTTTGCTATTAATAAATTGCCTTAGCTGTCTGCTTAACCATAGGCATCATCAATCTGGGCACCTATGGTACATGCCCAGGGTCTCCTGTTTGGTTTCCTGGGTCTAGAGAGATCTCTAACAGAGCAGATCACTCCAACTGTAAGAGCCATAACCCACCTGTTAGCATGGATCTGGCAGAACTTTAATTAGAAAAGATGCAAGAAGTAGAGGTGTGCGGGACCTCTGCAGCTTTTCCCAAGGAAGTAAACAGTGAAGCTCCCGCTGACCACCAAAGAACTGGGTCATAAACCAGTGAAAATTATTTATAATTATGATATTATTGTTATTATTATTATTATAGGACACTGACCACTGTACACCAAAGTTATGGGGGCACTAACCCCTGGCATGTATAAGGTGACACTTACCAGTGACCACCAACATTTAAGGGCTCACTCATCACTGACCACCAGCATAAGGGTCCACGCCCTGGAAGTTTTGCAGTGCATTAAATTGGGTATACATGTATAGTGTTTTTTCAACCAGCAGGTTAAATGAATAAAAGAAACGTGACAAATCCCCCACATCAACACAACTAAGCTATTGCTAAGCTATTGTATTCTAACAGGGGGGCACCCCCCTTGCCAGAATACACTGATCAGCTCTTACAGCTATTGGCTGTAAAGGCTGACCGAATGCTGGTTTTCCATCAAGACCATTTGTCAGAAGCTGGTCGTTAGACTAGTTTTTGTTGAACCAACAGTGGTACACAAGGACAAAAGGTTCAGTAGGATCCATCCAACTTTCAGTACATGTGTACCAGGCTTTATATAGCCCTGGCCTGTGCACACTGACTTCTGCTCTGTATACACAATGTTGTAATTTATGTAGTCCTGACCATTTCACTTTAGACACAATGTATGTACATTAGAATATCCTGATGTTTGCACTGTTTATGCTGTGTTGTACATTACATTGTCCTGGCTGCTGCACTTTATATACTGTGCCATTGCACTCTAAATGTTATGTTGTACATTACATAATTCTGACTTGTGCACTGAATATGAACTGTTGTGTATTACATAGTCCTGACCCTTGCATCCCATATGCTATGTAGTATTTTACATGGTCCTGAGAACCACGTGCTGTATGCTGTATATATGCTGTATGCTGTATATATGAGGGGTGTTCAAATCAAACTGAGACTTTTGAGTTTATGTAATAAAAGAACAAATTTCAAGGAATGGAAATTGCATTTATTTTTTGACATATCCTTACATGCCCTCTTACACTGATAATCAGTGGAGAAAGAACCCATTACATTGGTGCTCAGTGGAAAAGGGCCCTCTTACATAAGCATAATTTTATTTTTTATGTACCATCACACTTGTTATCAAATTATATGAGGAACGTTCAAGTCAAACCAGGCCTTTTGAGTTGATATAGTAAAAGAGCAGATTTCAAGGACTGGAAATTGCATTTATTTTTTGACATACTCTCCTGCTACATAATACACTTATCACAGTGTTTAACCGCTTCCCGTCTGTCCTATAGCATAAATACTGCTACAGGGCAGCACGGCTGTGCAAAATCACGTACATATATGTGATTCTGCATTTCCGGGTAGGGAGCGCACGTGAGGCTTGTGCACCCTACCCATGGCTGTAAATCACCTGGTCCTGGCAGGTGATTACTTGCCGGTGCCTGGTGACTGCCAAGCACCTCTGACGGGGAGGAGAACTGTTTGAAAACAAAACAGTACTCCTCCCTGTCTGCTCTTGCACACTGTGTGCGTGCAGTGTGTTTACAGTGTTTACAGTGAAGCACAAACACACAGTCCCATAGTAAAACACTCCCAGCACACAGTTAACCCTTTGATCACCCCTCATGTTAACCCCTTCCTGCCCAGTGCCATTAGTACAAATCAGTGTATTTTTATAGCACTGATCACTGTATTGGTGTCACTAGGAATGGCAGTAACACCAAGTCAGTTCCCCCCAGTGTCAGAATGCCCGCCACAGTCCCGCTATAAGTCGCTGATCACCACGATTACTAGTGAAAATTAAAAAAAAATTCAGTATAAATACCGCCATTTGTAAACGCTATAACTTTCACGTAAACCAATTAATTTACTTATATTGGAATTTTTTTTAGCAAAGACATATAGCATAATACATTTTGGCCTAAATTTATGATGAAATTTGATTTTTACAATTTTTTTACTGGACGTGTTTAATAACAAAAAGTCAAAAATATAGTTTTTTTTCTCAGAGTTGTCAGTCTATTTTTTTTATAGCGCAAAAAATAAAAACACACACAGGTGACCAAATACCACCAAAAGAAAGCTAAATTCATGGGAAAAAAGGACCCAAATTTCATTTGGGTGCAGCGTTGCATGACCGCGCAATTGTCATTTAAAATAAAGCAGCACCTTAACGCAAAAAATGGCCTGGTCAGGAAGGGGGGGAAATCCTCAGGAGGGCAAGTGGTTAACTATTGTCTGGAAAGTTCTGGCATAGAAAAATTTGTCAGTATGTCTGAACCATCCTGGGACAGCCTGCTTTACTTCGTCCCCATTGTGTTCACCGTTCTCACAGAAAGATTCATCTCTTCTGCAATTTCATGACAGGTTCTGCGTCGATTATCCAGGATCAGATGTTCTACGCTCTCACAGGAATGACTGCTTTGGGCTGGGAACCACCATGGCTGGGATCGTCATTGACGGACGTACGGACATCTTTGAAAATGTTTACACCATTCAAATGTCTTACTACGGCTGATTGTCTCATCGCCGTACTGTGCTTGAAGTCTTCTATAGATATCGGTGGGTTTTATGCCTTTGTTTACAAGAAACTTCATCACCACACGCTGTTCCAAGCACGCACTGACACTGTGGTCCACCATCTTGATTAACGGTCTCTGGACTGGCTGCCTATCAGTAATAGGACACACTCGCCACTTACTACTGCGTGTAGTATCACCATGCCAGCATCCATTTTTATACCTGTAAAATTAAAAGTCCCGGTTTGACTTGAACGCCCCTCGTATGTTACATAGTTCTAAAAGCTGAGGTGTATCATCTTACCATCCCTCTGCATTCTTACTAGTGCTTACCTCGGGCGAGTGCAGGGAGCTGGAGACAGTTGTTACAAAGCAAAGCAGCCATCTCGTTGCTAACTGTGATGTTAGGCAGAGAGGGGATGACATGTCCAATATCACAGCTAGTGTTAGAGGGCACTTAGGGACATCGGACATATATTAAATATTTTGTCCCATTGGGAACTCAAAATTGTAAACAAATATATATAGCGATAATTGATAAGTATTTTACTGTCTTGGCCCCCTGTCCACCTTCATCAATGACCTAGATAATACTTGTTTTAAAAAGCAGTCTGATGTGCCTGATTCCTGCACTCAGCTGTCACTGGATAGGAAGTGACAAATGTCCCCAGTGGGCACAGGGACAGCAATAAAAACCCAACAGAGGTTCTAAACCTTCGCTACTCTATCCAAAACTTTATAAAATTGACTGGAGTTGGGTCTAGTTTTTTTTTTTATAAACATTGTTACATAGTTACATAGTTAGTCTAGCTGAAAAAATACAAAAGTCCATCCAGTTCAACCATTAAAAAAAAACAAAAGACAAAAGTTATAATCCTATACCCACAGTTGATCCACAGGAAGGCAAAAAAAACCAGCAAAGCATGATCCAATTTGCTCCTGCAGGGAAAAAAATTCCTACCTGATCACCCGAGAGGCAATCGGATATTCCCTGGATCAACTTTACCTATAAATGTCAATATCCAGTTATATTCTGTATATCTAAGAAAGAATCCAGGACTTTTTTAAAGCAATCCACTGAGCTGGCCAGAACCAACTCTTGAGGGAGTCTATTCCACATTTTCACAGCTCTCACTGTGAAGAAACCTTTCCGGGTTTGGAGATTAAATTTCTTTTCCTCCAGACGTAAAGAGTGCTCCCTTGTCCTCTGTGATGACCTCAGGGTGAATAGCTCTACACCAAGTTCACTATATGAACCACTGATGTATTTATACATGTTGATCATATCCCCCCCTTCATGTCCTATTCTCAAGAGAGAATAAATTCAGTTCCTCTAATCTTTCCTCATAGCTGAGCTCCTCCATGCCTCGTATGAGTTTGGTTTCCCTTCTCTGTACTTTCTCCAGTTCCCCAATGTTCTTTTTGTGAATTGGTCCCAAAACTGAACTGCATATTCCAGATGAGGTCTTACTAATGATTTGTACCGGGGAAATGATATCTCTCTCTGGAGTCCATACCTCTTATAATACAAGAGAGGATTTTGCTCGCTTTACAAACCGCAGCTTTGCATTGCCTTATTAAGCTTGTGATCTACCAGAACCCCCAGATCCTTCTCCACCATTGATTCCCCCAGTTGTACCCCCCCTAGTATGTATGATGCATGCATATTCTTAGCCCTCCAGTGCAGAACCTTACATTTATCAACATTAAACCTCAATTGCCACATAGTTGCCCAATTAAACAGAGCATTGAGGTCGGCTTGTAAGTTGGAGACATCCTGTAAGGACGTTATTCCTCTGCACAGCTTGGTGTCATCTGCAAAGACTGAAATGGGATTTTTAATCCCAGACCCTATATTGTTTATAAATATATTAAAAAGTAAGGATCCCAACACTGAACCTTGGGGTACACCACTGACAACCCCGAGACCACTAACTCTTTGAATACAATCTTTTAGCCAGTTTTCTATTCATTTACATACAGATTTTTCCAAGCCCGTAGAGTTTACCTTACACATTAGCCGTGTGTAGGGAACTGTGTAAAACTCTTTTGCAAAATTCAAGTATACCACGTCCACTGCCACCCCTCTGTCTAAGTATACCATGTCCATAGCCACCCCTCTGTACAAGTATACCACGTCCACCACCACCCCCTCTGTTCAAGGTTTTGCTCACCCCCTCATAAAAAGAAATCAGATTTGTTTGACAACTTCTGTCTTTCATGAATCCATGCTGTCTGTTGCTTAAAATATTTTTTTCCAGCAAGAACTCACCTATGTGGTCTTTTATTCAACTCTCCAGTATCTTCCCAACTATAGATGTTAAACTAACAGGTCTATAATTACTTGGTAAAGATTTTGACCATTTTTTAAATATTGGCACCACATTGCCCTTACGCCAGTCCAGTGGTACTATGCCAGTCATTAAAGAGTCCCTAAAATTTAGAAACAATGGCTTTGAAATGACAGAGTTCAATTCTTTAAGGACCCGTGGGTGTATGCCATCCGATCCAGGTGCTTTATTCACCTTTATACTTTCTAAACATTTTTGGATCATATCAATTGTGAGCCAATGTGGATCATCTGGGGCTGTGTCAATACCATGCCCATTATAGACAAGTGCTCCCCCGTGCTTTTTTGTATACACAGAGCTGAAGAAGGTATTTAATAAATGCGCCTTCTCTTTGTCCCCAGTCACCCACTCTAGATTATTTTGTAAAGGGCCTACATGCTCGGACTGGACCTTTTTACTATTAATATATTTGAAGAATTTTTTGGGGTTGGTCCTGCTATCTTTGGCAATCTGTCATTCATTTTTAATTTTTGCGGCCATACTATAAAAGAGTTATAAAATGTGGCCTTTACAAAGTGAAGGGTTATTGGAATTTATTTTACCAATACAATTGAAGCACATTCTACTACCTACCTGTTTAATGCTGTTGGTAATAAACCAAACCATAAAGATTCTTGAGCTGACTTGGACCCCCGTTACTAGCACCGATGTGCGCACTATACCTTGGAAGAAAGAGGGATTCTCATTAGCTGCATGACACGTTCAATAAGAAAACATGCAAATTGGACTTGTTAAAAGGATCAGTCCACACCTATTTTCTCTACAAGATATAGAAGGGCAGAATTCTTCCCTGGTTAATTATATGTCGCTCTAGTAATGTTTACAGCAGGTGTAAGGTATCAAAGACATAGGTGGAGAGAAATCACCAATGGTATCTAACAGGTACACATAAGGTAATGGGTAGTGAAACCCATCAGCATCTACTTAAGTCTTAAATTTCTGTTTGGGGGGTAACCACATATTTTCAGCCCCGATAAAATGTAAAACTAAAATTACTGTCACAGATAATTAGTTTTCTTTTTCAGCCCAAACCAATGTACATTAACACCAGTTCACAAAGAGAGAATGTCATGTCAACACTATATTAATCATAAACATCAATAAATGCAGCATCAATCAGTGACGACACAAAAATGCAGCCTATCCATTAACTAGGGGCCAATGAAAACATTGAGAGCAGCCTATCCATTCACTAAAGATCAATAGCAACACTACAAATACAACCTATCCATTCACTAGAGACTCGTGATATCACTAAGAATACTGCCTATACAATCACTAAAGACTAATGATATCCCTGAGAGTACGCCCTATCCAATCAATAGAGACAGGTGAAATCACTGTGAATACACCCTATCCAATCAATAGAGACAGGTGACATCACTGTGAATACACCCTATCCAATCAATAGAGACAGGTGACATCACTGTGAATACACCCTATCCAATCAATAGAGACATGTGACATCACAGAGAATACACCCTATCCAATCACTAAAGACAGGTGACATCACTGAGAATACACCCTATCCAATCACTAAAGACAGGTGACATCACTGTGAATACACCCTATCCAATCAATAGAGACAGGTGACATCACTGTGAATACACCCTATCCAATCAATAGAGACAGGTGACATCACTGAGAATATACCCTATCCAATCACTAAAGACAGGTGACATCACTGAGAATACACCCTATCCAATCACTAAAGACAGGTGACATCACTGTGAATACACCCTATCCAATCACTAAAGACTAGTGATATCACTGAGAGTACACCCTATCCAATCAATAGAGACTGGTGATATCACTGAGAATACACCCTATTCAATAACTAGAGACTAGTGACATCACTGAGAATACACCCTATCCATTCACTAAAGACAGGTGACTTCACTGAGAATACAACCTATCCATTCACTAGAGCAATGGTTCCCAACCTCATTTCTCAAGTACCCTGAACAGGCAATGTTTTCAGGATTTCCCTCACCTTGTACAGGTACTTTAAATCAATCTCAATGGCTTGATAATAATGAGGGCTATTTTAGCTATGGGAAATACCCAAAACAACATGGCCTTTGGAGGGTATGTGAGGACTGAAGATGGTCAATACTGCACTAGAGACTGGTGCCAACACTAAGATTGCAGTGATATCACTAAGAATCATAGGTGTGCACACGGGGTGTGCCAGTTGTGCCTGTGAACATCCTAATAAGCCCATCTGTACTAGCATCATTGCTCTGTGTGCCAGTGGGGAGATAGGCAAGATCTCCCACTGAGCTGCTCTGCTTATAAGAGAAGTGTGATAGCATTTTTCTCTCACTCTGAATCTGAATACAGGAAGATAATGTGCCAGTGGGGCCAAATGCAGAAAGGAAGATTGTATATATAAATATATATATATATATATATATATATATATATATATATATATACATACATAAACACACATGCATGTGTGTTTGAGCTTTGGTGTGCACACCCTAATGCAATTAACTGCACAAACCTATGCTAAGAATACAGCCTATCCATTCACTAGAAACTAGTGACATCACTAAGACACAGCCCATCCATTCACTAGAGCAGCCTTTCTCAACCTGGGGTGCCTTCAGGTTTCTTTAGGGGTGCCTTAGCAAAATGCCTAAACATTTCCCCAAAATTGTATACAAACTGGCAGGTGGATCAAGCCTGCCTTTTAGTTACACGTTGTGCACCAATACAACTTTTTAGCCAAGACAACATAAAAAAAATGATGCCATCAGTTCATAAGAAGGATATAGGGCACCTGCACAGCATTCTTGCTTGTCCCTCTTCTGCCCCTCTCTGTCAGCACTGGGGTTACATTAGCTGAGTGAGAGAGAGAAAATGAGGGAGAAGAGAAACAATGGAATACTAGTCAGTACCAGTGTGCAAAGGGTTATTTGCTTTGGAAGAATAAATCACCTCTAATGTTGGATGTCCCACATATGCAGATGTTGCTGTGTTTTGAAAAACTATTAGTTTAGTTTATTATTATTACATTTTGTAATGGATGCCTTGAGATTGCGCAGAATTTTAAAGGGTGCCTCAAGATTGTGCAGAATTTTAAAGGGTGCCTCAAGATTGTGCAGAATTTTAAAGGGTGCCTCAAGATTGTGCAGAATTTTAAAGGGTGCCTCAAGATTGTGCAGAATTTTAAAGGGTGCCTCAAGATTGTGCAGAATTTTAAAGGGTGCCTCAAGATTGTGCAGAATTTTAAAGGGTGCCTCAAGATTGTGCAGAATTTTAAAGGGTGCCTCAAGATTGTGCAGAATTTTAAAGGGTGCCTTAAGATTGTGCAGAATTTTAAAGGGTGTCTGAAGATTGTGCAGAATTTTAAAGGGTGTCTTAAGATTGTGCAGAATTTTAAAGGGTGCCTTAAGATTGTGCAGAATTTTAAAGGGTGCCTTAAGATTGTGCAGAATTTTAAAGGGTGCCTTGACTGAAAAAAAGTTGAGAAGCATTGCACTAGAGAAATCATTGAGAATGCACTCTATCCATTCAGCAGAGACTGGTGACATCATTGAGAATGCAGCAGATTAATTCACTAAACATTGGTGACATCACCAAGAATGCACTAGGGATTGGTAAAATCCTAATTCTGAAAGTCAGAATGAAAAGCTTGATATATTACAAGAATATGAATACTTCCTCCTGCTACCCCTCAACTGCAGGACACCATTTTACTAATAGGATATAAAACAGATGAACTCACCAAGTGCGCAGTGGACCAACTGTAAAAGAAAATACACACATCAATAGTTTATGAGAAGTGCTAGCATTCTTAAATTACATTATATTTACATTAGGCAGGCTATAAACTGCAATCTTTGATAGAAACGTAGACAATTCTAACATGGAGGTGAGGAGGGATAAGCACTTTTTATCAATATCACAAGGCAAGTAGCAGTAAGGAGGTACAAAAAAGATTAAAAAAGGAGCAGGTCTTTGATGTTCTATAGAGGCTAGGAAGCAGCGAAGGTTAGTTTTAGATAGAGTAGGGAAGGGTTAGATTTTCTTTCAAGTTTTATTGCTCTTTGAACTTGCTAGGAAAATTCACTCTCTCCATTTGTCCTGATGACCTTTGTTCCCAGGACCAAAAGATGATAAATTGGGAAAATGCTTCAATTGTCATCAAAACAGGAGCTAAAAATAATCTTTCATTGACAGTCCTAGTTCACACCAAATGCAATTTCAAAGTGGTGTGATTTGGTCCTATTTAAAGTAGCGCTGATATAGACATAGGTGCAATTTCAGTGCCATTTACCTAAGGTTCCCTTTGGAAAGGGTCCATCTCACATCCTGCTTTCCTTGCTTTCCCTGCTTTACATCCTGTGTTTCCCTGGCAGGAAGTAAAGGAAAACTGACCAAAGCAGAGGCAGACAACAACAGCAAAAAAAAAAAAATGACAGAAGTGCTACCATACTCTATCCAAAACTAAAAATTCATGGCTTATACATACACTCTCCATGCAGAGTTCCTGGGAAACCAATGGAGAGCAAAGCAAAATGTAAATATTAGCCATTCAGCTCCATACACCCTTTTGGTCTTTCCATAAGAAGGCCTAGGAATGCTGTCTATTGATGCTTGTGTATATAGGAAAAGGACTTTTAGCATTTCTAAATACAGGGTTAGATACAAATTGAAAAGAGTTACACATGCTAAGGAGCAGCACATTTACCTCAAGTAAAGCAAATGTTTGGAAAAATTTAAGAGTCTTCTGGATACTCTTGTAGAGCCCCTTATGTGTTCCTTTGCCCATGTAGAACCGAAACATCGCAATGGCGAGAACCAGCCACCTGCAGGGTCAATTCAATGTATCAGTGAAATAATATATTACTTTTCATTTTACCTTTTCCTTTTAAGACTTGGGGATGTGGGGCAATTGTCCATCTTTTTAGGCTAACTAAATAGGTTTGCACACTTTGCAAAATCCCTCTTTTGCTTGATTTGAAAAAGGGGAACTGAGCCTAAAAATACCCTGTCTGGTCCCTAAATCTTTAAATCAGCAGATTCCTGCAAAAGCATATAGCATATACTCACCTTTCTGGCAGCCCATTTCTTCTACTTCTCCCCATTCCACTGCTGCAGTCTCTGAAGGACTCTGGCATTTAACATTTCCAGGAGTGTCAGATACCTGTGTCCCCTACCACATGCACATGCTCGTTTTCGAATGAAAGTTTGACTCAACTGGTAAATCTTACAGATGACAATTCAGGAGCACAACTGGGAAACGGGGTACAGAGCATTATCATCCAAGAACAGAAAGTGACTGAACAAGGCTCCTTATGGCGGGATCACCAGGCATTATCATCAATAAATGTGATTAAAAAATATTGAAAATGATCTTTAACATACTTCGTCATGTTAAAGTTTATGCAAGATTTTAGGGATTTGGTTTACTTTAGCATTAACACATACTTATCTTTCTTCACTTTAACACTGTTTTTTTCAGCTACTGCAGTACACAAAATACCCTGTACTCTCAGGTATGCAGGAACATGTGTCATGTGGGGGTAGGGAGAGAGTTTATGAACCTGTGTGAGCTCCAACACAAGACATGGAGCTTACACAAGTCTTCCTCTCTAAGTTTTGGGCAGCTGAATGGAGTGATGGGGGAGTGAAGGAAATGTGTAGCTGGATAAGGCAACAGGTAAGGGAACCAGAAGCTTTGCCCTGCATGGGTAAGGAATAGGTTCCCTTTAAGAGAGTCCACAATAAGAAGTATTGGATTGTCATTACAGGATGGGATGCAAATATCTCAGTTAAGACTTGTAGAGGAAGCATATGCCAACAGAAGCATTATGTTTCTGCCACAACGTAACACTGCATAGCTAGCAGGAAGACGGGGGACTTAGAGACTCTACACAGCCACTTGTTCTCTAGAGCAGCACAAGGTGACAATATGCGGTTACCAAAGACCAAAGCTCAAAAGTTCACAGTAATCTGTTGAAAGTCAGCTACTTCTGGTCTGGAGGTCAAATATATATATATATATATATATATATATATATATATATATATATATATCATTCAGTGCAAGCAGAAAGCAGATTTTGGTGATTGAGGTTGTTACAGGTGGTGAGAGAGGCGGTACCCTGACAGATGCCAAGGAAGTAGGCCTCCTGCAGTCCCAGGAGAGTAGTTTGGGGGAGGTAAAAAGAAACACAGGAACCCAAGGCCAAAAGGTAGAAGGACTGGTAGAGAGACCCGTGGGACCCTGTTAAAGGTTAGTAAGTGATGAGGAGCGAGGTCATGCCACATGTAATTAGGCAGATTAAGGCAGATTTTGGAGGAAACAAGCACCTTAATGAGCCAGGTGTGTGCTTTCTTCATAGTGGAGCTGGGATCAGAGCTCAGGGCCCCACCCTCCTGAGAGGGTCAGTGTGTGAAGGGGACCATGAGAGGTTAGGGTTGCCACCTCATCCCTTTAAAACTGAACACATATTATTTATACAGGTTCTGTGGCTGATTAAGGTGGTAATTAATATGAGTTTGGTTTTAAAGGGATGAGGTGGCAACCCTATGAGAGGTGCTGCTACGCACCTACCTGTCCAAGTCAGGACAGTTTGAGGCATGAGTATGGAAGACAGTCCATGAGGGAAAGAGCAGCTGGGATGCTGCTGGAAGGACACAGAGCTGAAGTACAGCAGTTAGTGCACGAGCTCTGGATGTGTTAGATGGTCAGGAAGACCAAAACTACTGAGAACAGAGTAGTAAAGCTGCAAGGAGAGCCACGAGGCTGAATGTTGTTTTCTGTTTTGTATTGATGGTGAAAACCCCTGCGTGGGAAACCTTTTTGGTGAAATTTCATTTGTTTTAAAAAAAAGTGGGCAGAAAGCCCTGAAAAATACTTGCATTGAGTAAACTCACTACTAAACGAGCTAAATAACCCCAAATCATCACAATACACAGTATATATCTATACAAATCCAAAAACCGCAATGGAGGCACTCACAGATCTTGCAGGTCTTGAGAAGGATAGACTGAGTTCCATCAAAATGTTGACAATAAAAATGATGTTGACTATCCGCTGTAAAATATGTGAGTGCCTCTATATATCTTTTTTGGGTGAGCAACTGGACACTTACCTCATGAACAGAGTGCAGTGGCATTTATATATATAATATATATAATATCTATACACATTTTTTCATTTCATTGAGATTAGTAGGGCAAATTTGAGATGATACCAAACCGGAAACGCATGGGCTCACCTCGATGAGTACAAATAAAAGTAATTCTGGGCTTCTACCAGTCTAGTTCAACTTTTCTCAACCAGGGTGCACAGGCAACCTGGGGTGCCTTGAGGTTTCTTCAGGGGTGCCTTGCCAAAATGTCTAAAATTGCTTAAAACTTGTACACAAGCCAGCAGATGGAACAAACCTGTCTTTGAGTTACACAAAGCCACAGGTTTTCATCTAGCCTCCGGTGTCCTGACAACTAGTGACATCAGTTGATAAAGAGAATGTTGGTTGACTGCACAGCATCTTTGTTTGACCCTCCCCCGCTCCTCTCATTCTGTGCTATGGGGGGGGGGGGTCACATTATTTCAGTGATAGAGAAAAACTGAGGGAGAATTGGAATACTAGTCAGTACCAGTGTGCAAAAGTGTAATTGCTTTGGAAAAAATAAAGCACCTCTAATGTTGGGTGTCCCTTGTATGTGGATGTTGCTGTGTTATATATAAGCTATTAGAATAGTTTTATACATTTTAGAATGGGGTGCCCTTTTAAAATTATGGACAGTCTAGAGGCACCCCATTTTAGAATAATTTCCATAGGGTGCCTCGGGACTGTCCATAATTTCAAAGGGTGCCTTGACTGATAAAAGGTTGAGAAACACTGGTCTAGTTTTGCTTTTTTACCGCCAATTTCCTTTCATGTTCTTCTAGGCGTTATACATGAAGGGTGTGAATAAGGTTCATGAGGGCAGTATTTTCAAATGGAAGCCAAGATCAAGCTTTACTAAACGTCGATGATGCTTGAAATAGACTTCCAGCAAAGGTAGTGAGTTGGCAACAGTAGTGGGCTAAAACATGCCTAGAACAAACAGAGATCTATACTCAGACAAAATAAATCCATAAACAAACTTGATGGATTTTTCTTCTATGTTTCATGCACCGAGGTTAAAAGTATGAAAGTTACCATCTACCTGCCACTAACTTATTAAGCAAATTAATACATGAATCTCCACAAGTATGTTATATTTCCACAATGTAGTGTCCTGAGCTTTCCCAGACACTTTTGCCAGATACACTAGCAGTGCAAGAGAAGTTGTCCGACACTGGACACTTGACACCTGTTATCCGGCGCAGTCAGCAGTCAATGGACTTAGCGCATAATCAGACTGGATGCTAGAAAACACATCCCCTGTGTACTACGTGCAGCAGAAATCCAGCTTTCATGCTAAGTGTTTTAAGTGATGGGTAATTCAACATACTGCTGTTTGGATGTATAGAAATTGTATGGCTAATTAAAGAGACACTTTGACTTTAGGCTTTGGAATTTGTATTATCAGTTGTTATTATGAAACAATAATTAAAAATAAAATACAGGCGTACCTCGGTTTATGAACGCATTCATTGAAAATAATTACTCGGTTTACAAATTTTTTTCGCAATACAAACGGATTAATTGGTTTCAATGCATTTACAATTTTTTTTTTAATCATATCCCTGTACAGTACTATACCTTTAAAGTGTACTTTATAAAGAGTTTTGAACAGATAAAACTTTTTGTGACTTTTTTTCTGACCTCCGTAACAGATTAATTGGTTTTCAGTGCATTTATGATTTTGTTTTTAATCATGTCCCTTTATGCCTTCAAAGTGCACTCTGTAAAGAGTTTTGAACAGATAAAAACTTTTTTTTACTTTTTCCTGACCTCCGGAACAGATTGGTTTTCAATGCATTTACGAATTAATTGTTAATCATGCCCCTGTACAGTATTTATGCCTTTAAAGTGCATTTTATAAAAAGTTTTGAACAGATAAAAGACTTTTTTTTACTTTTTTTTTTTTACCCGGAATGGATTAATTAGTTTTCAGTGCATTCCTATGGGAAACCAGTTTCGGTTTACAAATTTTTCGCAATACGAAAAGTCCCACAAAACGCATTAAATTTATAAACCGAGGTATGCCTGTATATAAATTGTATGGCTAATTAAAGAGACACTTTAACTTTAGGCTTTGGAATTAGTATTATCACTTGTTATGAAACAATAATAAAAAAATAAATCTAGTTTATAGGAATCACCAACATAGTTGCTCTTTCCTATACTTTGACAAAACATTCAATACAAGTTTCTTTTTATATTTGAGACATCACTTTAGTGTTTTAATATGTATTTTTTGTTTTAGATAATAACGAGATCATTTGCATTTTAATTTCATGTTGTACAAAATAGCCTCTCTTGGGAAGAGTTTAGGAGTTATCAGTGGACAAGTCACTTTTTTCAGCAGCCGTGTATCTTAAATAGGAAGAGGGTATCATCAAATTACAGACACAGGTAGAATCCCTTCAACAAAATTTTCCAGTTGGTAGTGGATCTCCAGCTTCCAGGCTGTTAACACAATTCCAGCCATTAGATGACTGTAGTAGCAATGTGAGCAACATTAGTCTCAGTCATGGCAGGAACCAGATATCTGGTCTGAAGGCTCTGAAGGAGGATGGAGTTGGAAGAAGTGTGAGCTATGTTCTCTCTTCCATGGCAATCCAAACAACTCATTTCATGTGGTTATGGAATAGAGGCAGGATGGTGGGGGAGATGAGGTTCT